TGACCACGGGGAGCAGGACTTGCATGGTTTGCCCTTGATGACTCAGTGTTTGCCTTGTGATCTCCCCCTCTCCTCTTGCCCGCGCCCTGCGAGTCTGTTCTCCTTCAACCTCAAATTAAACAAAGCCGGCTCGAGTTGGAAGAACTTCCAAAATAAACTGAGGGCTTGACAGCGTGAGTGGACAACTGAGTAAGTGATGCTGCTTTTCCTCTGAGTCAGTGTGGAAAATTGCAGCTCCAGAGGTGCCGCTGGATGGACGGGACATGCGGCCGAGTTGCTGACCTTTAGCGCTCGTTAAAAAATCCTTGGATGCCTTTTTTTTTTTTTTTTTTTTTTTAAATTTAGATTACATGCTGCGACTTTCTCCAGCCTCCAGTGCAGCGAGGAGCTTCGTTCTCCCTGTCTGTGCCCTCTGCCCTCCCTGTTCTTGATCCAGCATGGGCTTCTCCTGCCAGCCTGGTCTCTGCTGGGAGGTCTGAGCGCTCGAGCGCTCGGGCTTTGACAAGAAGCTGCCGCCGCGTTTTTTGGAGCGAGCAAAACGGTTCCGGCACATGAGATTAATCTGGGATTTTTATTTCTTAACCAAGAGCTGTCACAACAATGGCTCATTGTTCAATGTCAGGGGTTTTTTTTGCAGCAGAGGCCTTTTATGGCCTGCCAGCATTGTATTGGATCGCCCCAGGCCGGGCAGGTGGGACACAGGAAAGGCACCTGCTCAAAACTGTCCACGGTCTTGGCCTCTTTCTAATGAGTTCTCACAGTGACAGCAGAAACATCTAGTCTGGGACACAAACCTGATGGTTATCACCCGTTCTCCGGAGCATTTGAGGCTAACGGGGGATTATAGCTCTAATCCTTATCTCAGATCTCAGGGAGGTTATTATCTCATTTCCATTTCCAAGATTTGCTCAGTGTTTCTGTAATAACACAGCCCTATCCCCAGATTTTGGCAGAGGACACGCAGGGATGCAGCAGCAGAGCCATTTCTGACACAAGGCAAGGCCTGAGTGATCATCCAGTGGCCTTTTGGTGTTAGAATAGAGGGGTTCAAAGTGGGTTTTGTATCATGATCCGCATCCAGAGGACTCAAGGACATCTGGCCCACTGTTTGAAAAATGCTCTCCAAGACTCAGATTAAAATGCCTTTTATTTATTTCTACTTAGAAATGATAGAAATTTATTAAAGGGGTGAACAGACGGTTGCAAATAATTGAGTTGCCATAGACCCAAACCCCTTATTAATTTGGTAGATTAATTAATATTGTAATTCAAATGGAGTCACGTTGGGATTTTAGGAGGATGGTTTCTTTCTGTGTTTGACCAGCTGTCAAACTAAGTAGGATTAAGTATGAAATATAAGGAAATTCATTTTGCCACCACCCTTCCTGACTGGTGACCAAAAAGTTAAAATGGTTTTTCCCTTCCATAGTGTTCTATGTGTTGTGCCATATATATGGGATATTCTGTCTGTATATGTGTTCACACACCAGAGTGATAGAAATCTATCTCTAACCCTAATTTAATTTTTTTTATTTTAATTAGAAATAATTTTTTTTAAAAATCTCTGTTAGTGGGTGTCTAAGGATCTGACATAGCAGGAACCACAGCCTGGGAACAAATGGAAATTTCCAGAGTAAACATGAGAATGGATATTATGGATCAATTCTGGATAAATTGGTCCAATGGTAATTAAAAAATAGAAATCTTTGTAGCAGAGCTCATGGTCTTCAGCAGATAATGTGAACCTTCAGGCAGTGGAGAATAATGTGTCTTTAATCAGAGAATCCTAAATAATATCACTATCTGGGCTGTACAGGTATTTTTTGAAAGAAGCATTTTTAAAACAAGGATACCAAACCACATCACAAGTACTAAAGGAAGAAAAAATAGCCCTTGAAAAATTTCCTGTTTGTCTCGAGAGGAAATTGCCTGTTTTCTTTAGAGCAATGGTACATTTTTGCTTATTTGTCCATTCTGCAGCTTTATCGAGAGGATTCAATAACTGAGAGGTCTTTACCAGCCTCCACAATTGAAAATGCCAAAGAAATTTTCATTCTTAGAAAAATCCCTATTCCGGAGTTGGGGAAACCAATCCAAGCTATTGTGCTTGTGCTCAAATTCATACATAATAAACAATCTGTGTGTTATGTATCTGTGTTTTTAAATTTCTGAGTTTCCCTGCCTTTAGGTGTTGTCTCTTTATTACAAGTGATCAGAGTCAGCTTTTCCCTGTCTGCTGATCACAGCGAGACCTCATGGTTTGTGGCTGTGCCCATCAGTACCTCCAGAATAATAACTGTGCAGATGTCACAGAACATTTGAGTGTCTCCTGGAGGTTTTCCTGGCCTGGCTGGGAGCAGCAGGCAGTCCCTGCGTGTTTATTAATGTGTAACCTGATGGGGAAGTACTGCTCTTCCTGGCACCCAGAGCCAAAGCTGGTGCAGGTGTTCAGCTGCTGCAGCTCCACTGATGAGATCTGAGGCTAAGGCAAAACATCAGCCTGTTAAATCAAATATACAGGGCCTGATAGGCATCCTGGAGGAAACTATAAACAGCAGGAGGGCAAAAATTTGGTCTGAAATCCCTGCCATGAGTTTCTCTTTTGGCATGTGTAGACTAGAAAGGAGTAAAGAAATGCTCGGTGTGCTTCCCTGGATGAGCCCCTTGTGCATTCCCTCTCGAGGAACCACTGAGAGGTATCACAGAAACCTAAACTTTTCCAGGCTCTTGGCATTAATTCTGTGCCAAGGGAAGTCAATGGATGCTTTCAGAGCAGAACTGTGGCACATGTTTCCTTACACACATACACAACTTCTGAAGGCAGTGCTGACTGTGTTTGGACTGAGGAATGAGCAAGGTCGGGTTTGGCCCCTTTTCCTTCCTTTGTTATGACTTCTTGCTTGATGAACAAGGTGGAGAAATGAAGGGGCTGGAATTGTTCCCCCAATTCCTGAAATCCATTGCACGTATTCAGAGCTGCTTTTTAGCTCCTTGGAAATGCCAAGGCTGCACAGGACTGACTGTATGAACGACCTCAGACTTGGAAAGTTTGAAAACTTCGCAGTTGTGCTGGAGTGTTTGTCTAGAAATATAAAATATCACTTTGGTGCCACTGCCAAGAACCATATTGTGAGGTTTGTGCAAATCCAGCTGGGTATTCCAGTAACAACATAGAAAAGAAGATCCTATTAGGCTTACAATTCAGATATTCCCAAAAATTGTCCATTGAAGGACTGTCTCCTTTTGGGCTGGTAATACAGGAGATCACAAACAGCTCTGTGATATAAATGAATGCTTCATGTGTTACTGAAAATTAACTACTTGCTTGTGGTTTGCTGGGTAAAGAGAGAAAAATACAAAACCTCACAGTTCCTCATCCTCTGAACAGAAGTTGTTTATTTCTCAGCAGCAAGATTCAACAGCAACAAAAAAAAAAATTGTTTCCCCAGAAACAACTTTCCCAGAGGCACATCAAAAAGGGAAAGTACAAGTAAGACAAATGGTCTGTCTCCAACCAGCAAGCCCTATAGAGTGGCTGACTTTTACTGCCTGTCACTGATCTGACATAAAAACTTTATGTGCTCTGGTTTAATATAAATTAAACCATCTCTCTTCTCTTCACCAGGCTGCTGTGACACAAAGCCCTGGCTGGTTTCTCCTTGGCCTTCAGAGAGGGTGGGAGGAGGGAGGTTAATCCTGTTCCTGGAGGGTGTCTGCTGTCCAAAGAACGGAAAATATGATTTCTGCTTTGGGAATTGAATGAGTCCCCTTTAGAGCTCTTAAGGCTGTATTTATAGGAAGGATAATCTAGCAGAGGACGATATGTTTTGTCCCCAGGTTCTGCTGAACGTTTCTATTGTTGACCTAGGACACAATCCAAAGCTAATTCATAAGCAGCTTCTGAGTGCTCCTGTCATATAATTTTAAGTGAAACTCTTTAGATCTTTGCCTGTCTTTACTTCCTAAAGAAATGAGACTTTTGTGCTCTCTGAATCCCCAACACTCAGATAATGGGTATAGAAACATTCATTTCACAGGGATGCTGCTGAAGTGAATAACTGCAGTTAAATAGCCAGGGATAAAATCTCTGAATAAATTTTGACTATCAGTTAAAGGAAGAGTTATAGCTATGGAGGTCTGGGACAGATTTCCAGCAGAAGAAAGGTATCTTATCAAGGTGGAAGCTATCAAGTTCTTTTCATGACGGAGTTGGTGCTGAAAGAGTGAGAAAAGTCTGAAAAAATGGTGAGGCAGAGGGAGATGGTTTGCAGGGAAGTAGGGACATGAATTTCTGAGATTACATTTGAAGAACATTGCATTGAAGAACTTTGCCCAGCTAAACACTGATAGCTGGTATAAAGCAGCATAATTAATATTTCAAGCAAGGGGAGGAAGAAGGGAGAATGAACCCTTTAAACTAGTGTGAAGAGTTTCACTTATTAAGAAAAAGAGGGAGAATCAAAGAAGGGATAGTTTAAGCTGCAGGGATAAAATGCAGTAAGATTGCAAAATTTTGTTTTGAATGAAATGCTAAAGATTAGCTTTTAAGAAAAAATTATCTGCTGTGGCAGAGGTAAGGTAATAATTTAGTGAGGATGGCTGAGATATGCAAAGAAAAAAGTCCCAACCAGTAGTGATATGCCTCACTAAATTGTTTTGCCTTACATTTTCTCCGTCTGAAGAACACAAGCCAGTGGTGTTTCATAAGAATGGGGAAAGCTGACATTCCCTTGCTAAAAAATAGACCTCTCCAATTCCAGAGGCCTATGATATTTCAGGAACAATGAGAAACTAATCCCAGTTATATGAAAGTAAGCTGGACCCTTGAAGCTCCAGTCCTGGGCTTGTTGGACGAGGTGGAGCACAGCACCACGGGATGGAACCACCTTGCATAACAAACTGTCTTATCCATGTAAAGGAAAACAGGTTTGGACTTGATATACTTTTGCTCATAATGAGAAAAATATGAAGGCACTGGAGAAGTACACAGTGGGGTTTACCTTGGGCCAGTTTAATTTCCTGTCCCCGTTTCTCTTCTGAAGGCGGACAACGGGCAAATATCCTGTCCTAAAAAAAAAACCAAACCGAAACAAAAAAAATCAAAAGGAAAGAAAACATGCCATTAATTTGCCCAAATTATTGCTGTGGAAGTCAGTCAGCCAAACATGGCAGCCAAGGACGCTTCTGAGGAACAAATTCCACAGTTCCTGCCTCCCGCCTGATGTGGAGAGCTGGAAGCAACGTGGCCTCTCCCTGTTTCCTAAGACAAAAAGCAGGTGTTCCTCTCAGCTGGATACTCCCATGGTCATGACTAGATAATGAGTTTTTCACTAATATTTCCCTCAGTTTAACAGCCCTTGTTTGATTACAGCTCATGTCTCTTGAGTCACTGACCGGTGTGTGTTGTATCACCAGCAGGTCTGTTCAGAGCCCTCACTGGGGCTGATCCCCCACTTGGGGTTCCTCCATTTGCTTCTGTCACCAGCTGCTTCCAGAAATCATTAACTCAGCTGAGCCAGAGCAGCACTGAGGCAGTCCAGCCCCAAACCTTCCCCCAGGAAGAACCTTTCCAAAGAACCAAGGTCTCTTATGTGATAATTTAGCTTGGAAGGGACCTCAGGAGGTGTCTGGTCCAACCTCTTGCTCAAAGCAGGGTAAGCAGTGAATTCAAACCCGATTTCTCAGATTCACAGGGAACCAGGGTAAAAATATTAAGCATAGAATCATTATGGTTGGAAATGGTGGAATTCTGCTCAGAGGATACACCTCCTTTGGGGTGTCTACATGGAGGTTTCTGCTTGTCGTCTGGGTGCTTTGACAGCCAAGAATTACTCAGTGCAAGTTAATGCAGTCAAGACTGATTCAGCTGATCAGATGAATGTATCTACATTTAATTCTCAGCTCTTGCCAGTGATGTAACCCATTTCTCATGTGTGTTTCTGGTCCCTCTTCTGTCAAAATAGTGCCCTAAAAATGAAGTATAGTGGAATTATTCATGTGAACAAAAAAAGGAGAAGAAGTCTGTACAGAATCTTGTGGTGTGGGAAACTGTGTTGGAGATGAATGTTGGCCTGTGTGTTTCATTTTCATCCCTTAAAGTGTGTTTGGTTCCTTCAAGCCCTGAATCTACTCAAGTCTCCCAAGTCTGAAGTATGAAAAGCTCAGGGAGTCGCTGAAGCTGTTCCTTGTCCTCTGACATTTTTTTCTGTGACTTTAATGACCATTTTTGGGCTGAGAGGAGAAGATGTCAGAGACTTTCCACCAGATTCATCAAAGGCAAACGCAGGGTTAGCCCACAGACCTCGTGACCAATGAAGGGAAGAAAACCATTGCAGTGTGGGTACAGTCACTGGAAAAGGCCTCCTTCACCCCAACACTGCAGTAAAGGTGGCTGTTTCTTATGTTCTGAGGCATTATTTTATCTATTTAAGCACCAGAGATATGGTCACCTCATATTCTTGATGTTCCCTGTAGTAGACTGCCAGATATTAAGACCAGTTGTTGATTTTTAGTCAGATTTAATGTACAGTACTTCTTCCTATTCGATTTGGATTAAGCTTTAGACACCCCTGAAGCTTCTGGAGGCAGGTATCCTACAAAAATCCAAGCTTTCCTTAAAAAAAAACCAAAACACACACACACACACACACAAAAACATCACACAAAAACAACCCCACCCAAAAACAGAATAACAAATGGAAAATACAACGAAAGAACAACAAAGCCACGCTGGTTGTGCTCACCTGGTTCTGTCAAGAGCTGTAAACCAGCAGATTCAAAAGGTGCACAGTGTCTCGTGTTGCACTCTTAGCTGGGTAACACTTGCAAATCCTCTGAACAAACATGATATAAACATAAACATACACATATATATGTACATTTTACCCTGATGCAAGGAAATGCACCTTCCTACTCTCCTTGTTATGATACCACAGCAAAGCAGAATTCCAAGGCTTGCCTGGGTTGGCCTCACTTTGGAACAGGTCCCAGAGCCCTCGCTCTGGGATCTTACGTTCCTGGCAGGCTTTGTAAAATCACACGCTGGAGGAAAGCAAGGGCTTTCCTATGACATTTCCAGGTTTTCTTTGATTCCACAAGGCCCATCAATAAGTGTTGATTAGCAGGGAGAATGACCTCAAGTCACGTCAGCTGGAGGATGTGTTTGCGCTGCAGGGAAAGGAAGAAAATGATTTCCACCTCTCGAAGATAAGGGTTATCACAGGTTTTTTTAAAACACGTTTTTTTTTTAAAGCACAGTTTTTTTGTTCTTGTTGTCTTTTGTCTAATGGCTGGTCAGTGTTTCATCTCTTAAAATGTCAGGACTTGTCAAATGCTGCCATTGATGCATCACACCTCCAGAATATGGATTCTCTGGGGTTTAAAATGTGCACCATGATAGAAAAGAATTTAGTTTCTTCTCTGCTTTTGGGTGTGTGTACATCAGTCACTTATTTGCTAAGTCACCTGGATTTAAGTAATGTGAGTAGGATTTTCCAGAGAGTTTGCAATCCAGATTCCTAAATTACTTTCGATATCAAGAAAACACATTTGAAGCCTAATTTATTGAGATCTACAAATCCCACTGTCTCTGCAGTGAAAAACAGTGTTTATTTCTAACAGGGGATGACTTAAATAATAGAATATTAATTAAGACATATATCAGGAATTAAGAATGAATTTCTGGATCATTTAATTTTCAATGCTGTCTCATGTATATATTTGTGTCAGACTGATACATCTCACATCTAAGTCCTATTAATGCTGAAGGTTTCATTAACTGATTTCAGTTTCTGCTGTATGGATGCTGAAGGAACCAAAATATCTACCATTTCAACCAGAATTCCATTCTATTTGTGGATAAACTGTTTTTAACTGAGAGGATATCACTCCTGCATATTGAAGAACAAGACATAAAAATACATTATTGATGCCTCAGATTAGCAGGACTTGAAAATCAGTTTGTTTTCAGTGTGTTTATGTAGCTACTCAGATTTATGCTGACCAAAACCAGATTTTTTTCTCAGTACTCAGAGATTTGATATGATGCTACTTTGTCACAGAGATGAAACAAGAAAAGTGATTAGAAAAGGTGAACAGTGAAAAAGTTCAACATCTTTAAGTTCTGAGGGTATTGAAATATTAGTCTGGGGGAAAATAGGGGATAAAACCACATAACCAGATTTATGGCATCATTTCCCATAGTTTTATTGTTCTGAACAGGTCACAACAACATGTAATTATAGTTTTGCCATGTATGGTCCAGCAATTTTCAACGCAGAGACTTTGACAGAAGGGGAAACTCCTGACAGCAGTATTTTTGAGCAGAAGTTTTGCAAAGTTTGCTTCCTACTCCGAGTCACTCCCAGTCTCAGTTTCTCTGGCCCGTGTCCAAGCTCGTGTTCCATCCTGTCCGTGCAATTGAGTTATTTCTGCTTTACACCAAGTTACTCAGCTCAGCAACAGTCTTGCCTTGACTTAATGAAGACACCACTGAATACAGAAATTAGAAGTAGAACTCAAAGTTTGTTGTAAAAACGGTTTAGCTCCATGGTTTCTTGCTAAGCACAAATTTCCATCAGTAGTCCTGAAACACTGACAGCATTTCCACTCAGTGATGTTCACTTATGTTATTACTGTGGTTTCAGTGTGTCATACAGCATTTACATTTATAAGAGGCTCTACTGGTTTAAGGACTAATGATACCACTGGAATATCCACGTGTGCCAGTTTGAGTGTTTCTAGAGAATCTGCTTCGCTTCAGGAGGAAATTGAAATATTTCTCCCATCAACTCCTGAGGATTCCTGAATTGTGGATACTCTTTTATAGGTCCCAAAGAAGTTGAATGAGATTTAGTTTAGGTCTTAGCTTAGGCCAAAAAGAATCTACATTTGGGTTAAGTGCCAAAGATCTTTGTAGCCAAATGAGATCAGTATAAAATGAAAGACAGAGCTTTCATTTCAGCAGCTGAATGGATCTCCTCTCCAATGATTACATCCATTACCTGTCCAAGTTAGAGGTACACTGCCTTAATATTGGTATCTAGAGGTCTTTTAGTCACCTTTGGTCTTCTGCAGGATTTGTGTTATATCTACCAGCCCCACAGCAACACCATGGATCTCTCAGGTCATTTTAACTGGAATTAGAGGAATATTTTCAGCCAATTGATTCCCAGTATAGGTATCTTAATATTAATGTGGAAATCTCAGAAGCAACAAGCTGATGTCCTCAGGCACCACAGTTCACTTCTGAAAAAGTAAATTGTGCTGAGGGAGAATCTCTGGCTTATTTGTTTCTCACATGTAGATCAATCATGTTCTCATTCTGTGCCGTGGTTGTGTGTCTACTTTGTCTGGATTCAGCAGCCACTCAATCATGTTGAATCACTAAGGAATTTGGTTGTGCCTAGACTTGACTACTGCAGTGCAAGATTCAAAACTAATTTCCATTCCCTTTTTATTTTTCTTCTTCTTTTTTTTTTTTTTTTTTTTTTTTTTTTTTTTTTTTTTTTTTTTTTTTTTTTTTTTTTTTTTTTTTTTTTTTTTTTTTTTAAATTTTTTTAATTTTTTTAATTTTTTTTATTTCCACACCCCCATCAAGCAAAGCTCACCTGAGGAAGGAAATGGCTGTGCAGGTCTACATTTTCCTGCTGAGAAAACAGATCCTACAAAACTTTGCTACACTGGTTGAAGCCGGGTAGGAATATGAAGTGACATTTTGCTTCTTGTCTCCCTGCAGCTTTCAGAGGGGATCAACGCAGGCCAAGGACTGGGGATCGAAATCATTGCCACCTTCCAGCTGGTGTTGTGTGTCCTGGCCACCACAGACCGCAGAAGGAATGACGTCTCGGGATCAGCACCCTTGGCCATCGGTCTCTCTGTTGCCTTGGGGCACCTGCTTGCTGTAAGTTTTAGCCCTCACAATTTGTACCTGCAACATCCCAACCCCGGCACGAGCCGGTAAAGGCAGGAGGATGATGGGGCAGCGATAGTTTCTTCCTTCTCCTTCCACTTCTGAGACTCCCCTTGTTTCTGCAGCACACATGGCCCTCCTTTCTAGGGCTGTGTGGCTGTGGCAGCAAGTGGTGAGGTGGCACCCCTGGGAGGAGTTGCTGTGTAGGACATGTCTCCCTGGTGGGACAGGACGAACCTGGGGCAAACATTCCTCCTCCTCTCTCCGAGGAAGAATGGGTGGGGTGAACAAAGCTGCTGTGAGCATCCAAACCCCGCTGCAGGGTGCCACCTGCCCTGCTGGGGAAATGGAGGTGCCACACGTGCCTCACACTGGGTTCTCTTTCCCCCTCCCCAGATCGACTACACCGGCTGCGGGATTAACCCGGCCAGATCCTTCGGCTCAGCACTGATCGCCAACAACTTTGAAAATCACTGGGTAAGTTGGAGGAATTTCTTTACCTTAAAAGAGCCTCTGAATATGCATAACCTACAAGATCAGAAGCATTTAAACACGTGTCATCAGGACCAGCTCAGTGAGTTTTTATTTCTGTTTCGTTTAATGGAGAAAAATCTCCCTTCGCTCCTGACCAGCCTCGGGCAATCAGAAAACCCTCAAGCTCATTCAGTCTCTTTGTTCAAAGTAATAGAGTAGATTTTC